TCTATGTGAGAAGAGCTTCTATTGTTTAGTTGTCTATGATTACGTTGCCTCTGCACCTTTCCCTGTTTTAAAGAGTGATTCTTTACCATAATTACGTTCTGTTCTCTCGCTGAATTTCTCTCCTCTTCTTCACTTGTCTTCTTCCAGATGATCAAGAGAAATATCAACAATGTTAGAAGAATGACCTCCCATCCCACACTGCCGTACTGTAAGTCCCCCACGTCTGTCAGTGGATTAGAAAAGAATCTGCCTCTAAAACTACAATATAGACATCATATTTCTCGTGTTAAAAACAGCCTTGAGGGGTGGTTACATCACCCGAAAAGTTTCTCTTTTGGAGACACGTAGCAACTGGCAAAGTTTTTTTATTTTTTTCTCTTGGTCCCAGTGCTGCTGTTGATTTAGAAAAGGCTGAGTGAGCTCCGTTGCTACAACCTTGTATTTTCCAGTCAAACTGCAGAGTGGGGATACACTTGTCAGGTGTTTGTGTGGAATCATTCCCAGCAGGTCGCAGAAACGTCTGTTGAAGTGTGTTGGAATAAACCGCCGCCTTAATTATGTATGAAATAGATGATTTTGGGAACAAAGAAATGCCAAAACCTCATGTTGAGACCTTAACGTTCACTGACACGCACTGGAAAATGAGCTGAACTGGCGTCACATTTCTGTTTTTTTTTTTCCTTTTTCTGTTTGGCAGACCTGACAGGAGCTCAGGATGGTAGCGTGAGGATGTTTGAGTGGGGCCACTCCCAGCAGATCATCTGCTTCAGAAGTCCGGGCAACTCCAGAGTCACCAGGATACGATTCAACCACCAAGGGAACAAGGTTACGCTCACCTATATGCAACAGCAGAGTGACCGCTTTGAACTGCCGTGCAGATGTCAGACCGCTCTCGGCTTTGCACCGTCATTGCATTGTGATGCGAGCCTGTCAGATTCAGACACATTTTCACACTTCCTCTCACAACTTTGCCATTCAGGCACAAACCACAGAGGGTAGTTTGGCTTCAGCACACATTGCTCCTCAGCTGAGTGATTCAACCGCTCTGAACTCAGGGACTCGCCTCAAGCTAATAATTTCCTCAGATGGTGCCTCTCCTGTGCCAGTACTATCTTATCTGCTTGCCAAAAAAGAGCGAAATATGCTTCGCGAAAACTCAAAAAGGAGAGGACACACGGAGCATTTTTTGCTTTTAGTTTTTTTAAGTGGTGCTCGGACTCATTTGGCCGTCGACGTGTTTTGGAAGCTAATTTAAGCGCGACCTAAATCACCTGAAGGCAGTTCACAGCGGTTGCGCAAACACAAAACTAACTTGTTTACAGTAAAGTCTGATGTACGCTGTCTGCATGTTTTTGTGTAGTTCGGTATCGTGGATGCTGACGGGGGTTTGAGTCTCTGGCAGACCAACACAAGCGGGAACACGCCCAAACCATACCTGGTAAGGAGCTCATAGCCGACGAGTTTAATCCCTCTCTAAACTCTTAGTGTCTCCTCATTTACGTCTCCTCCCGCTTTTATCATCGCTGTCACCATTCCTGACTGCCTCCTTTGTTGCCAGACTTTGCAGTGCCACAACAAGACAGCTCACGACTTTGTCTTCGTGGGCTCTTCCTCCCTCATCGCCACCGCCGGCCTTTCAACAGACAACAGGTACAAGAGGCTCGGAGAGAGAATTTAATCTCCTGTCGTCTTTTTTTTTTTTTCTTTTCTGGAATTGTCCCCTCAATTGAATCCTTTTGCCTCGTCTAATTAAATGCTTAATCTTGTCCCATTCAGCTCCACTCTGCTGTGGCTAACAAGCATAATGACGGGTCCTGTGATTGAAACGCTGCAGCGGGTAGTAATTTTATCCTTTTTTCACTCCACAGGAACGTGTGTCTGTGGGACACTCTGGTGACTCCTGCCAACAGCCTCGTGCACGGTAAGATGCGGCACAATTTTTAAATAAAAGTTTGAGGAATCGGATGAGTTACAGCGTCTGAAATGATGAAGTACATCTGCAGCAATTTTGTTGTTTTTTAAGCAAAAAAAAATCAGTGTCCCTAACATCTCAAATATTTCTTTCTGTAATATTAAACTAAACTTAAAGTTGAATTGCTTAGATTTGTGCATGCCGGTGTGCAATTTTCTCTACTTTCTGCTAATAACTGCGAGGATGACTGACATGTTTCTCCTCCTCTCTTAATGCCCCTCTCATTGCTGTCCTTATCCCCCTAATCTGCCCCTCTCATCCCCGACATGCCATCGCTGTCTCTCCCTCCTCAGCGTTCTGCTGCCACGAGTCTGGTGCCACCGTGCTCTCCATGGCCCCGAGGCAGCAGCTGCTTATCACAGGTGGGAGGAAGGGCTGGATCAGCGTCTTGGAGCTTCCCCACAGGCACCAGCGGCAGAGCTTCCAGGCCCACGACTCGCCGGTTAAGGCGCTGGCCGTCGATCCGACCGAGGACTGCTTTATCAGCGGATCGGCCGAGGGAAACATTAAGGTATCATGACCGGCCTGGCTTTCGTCGGTGCGGTTAAATACAGTTCTGTTGAATAAATACGACATTTTGAGAGGCGCATTCCAGACGACGGGTGAGGGAGTTAATTACTTTGGAATATATGAATATTTCTCCGCCATTTGTTGATGGCTTTTAAAGTCACTCGCGAGCGGAAAGTCGACAGTTCTGTTGGAGAGGATGGGAATTTTAAGTTATAGAGGCTTCAGGAGTTTCATTAATTTTACATGAGAGCTTCACTGCGAACCGTAATTCTAAAAACTTAAACTTTGGATTATAAAAAAAAAAAACACTTTTGATCATTTCCTCCGCACAAAAGTAAATTCGTCCCTGACAGAAGAGTCCCGCAGGGCGTTTGGCACCCAGGTGCGAATGTCTCTGGCTCTCCTCCACATCACAATCAGATGACTGCTGCGTTTATCCACGGAGACAGTGAGCTCCATCAAAGTCTGCCGAGACCAATGTCACTTATGATTAAGCACCTGCCCGGGACAACGGCGTGACTGATGGAGACTAACGTGAAAGGTGAAAGTGGGGTGACACGGGAAAAGGCAAAAGGCAGAGAGAGTTTTGAAACGAACAGGCAGGAGATGTGACTGTCTTCAGCTAATATATTTCCAGAGACAGCAGGTCTTTTATCTTTTTGACTTGAATATGTTGGCGCAGATCACACAGCTGTCACTCCAAGGATGAAGCCGCTGTGTCACGCAGATGTAGAGGGAATGGTGCAGTGCACATCTGCTTGAAATTCAAATGACTTTCATTCTGGATGATTGCTCACAAAAAAACCTCCAAAGCTGCGCGCCATGTTGCTCATCTCAAGTCATTAATTGTATATTAGCCGTCTGAAAATTTAACATGATTGCTCTGCACATTTAGAGGGTTTTAAAGTGTTTTGATGAGAGTCCATGAGGCTGGAAGATTACCTAATATATACAGACATCAGTGCACGAAATACCTTATCAAATAATAAGGCTCCCAGACCGGGAATACGAATCAAACAATGCAAGTTGCTCAGAGCTAATCATGGTCTTCAGTGGATGCTCAACTTGTGCTAACAGCTTCCCGTCTGCCAGTCTGGGGAGAAGCAACTTAAAGGATGCTCATATATTCTGCGTTTTTTTATTGTCAGCAAAGCCTGTGCACAGACCCAAAACACAGCAACGTTATCGTCTTTATACGATCCTAGTTCGAGCTAAAACTCAAATACTTTCCTTCCTTGTTTATCACAATTATTAGAGATATTTTTATTGCTCTTCCACATTTAAACAAACAGAGCAACGCTGCCTCTTCTATGTTCTGCTATAAATCACAAATCTGCAGGTTTTAAATACGTTTTTTCTTCACCTGTATTGAGCATCTCTTAGAGGCAAAATCATTTTTATTCAAAACCCCTCGCATGTTGTAAATCTGCATCTCAATGCGCACGACAGCGTTCCTAAGTGGCTCACGTGCAGACGGCAGCAGACAGGTGTGACCAACATCACTTAGAGAACAGTGGAATAAAATGTTCTGGATTACCCAAATTAAAACTAAGTGATTTCATCTAGAAGGCCTGTTTTATACTTTGGACTTTTATTGAGCTGAGAATGTTGTGTTTCGTGTTCACGCTTATTTGTGGGAAACCAAAATCATGATCATAAATAACACTGGTCTACACCCATTTGTGCTGAATCCAAATGTTATATTGGTTTTGCTCAATGAGGTCAAGATTTAGATTTGATGGGCGCCCCTATAATTCACCTGGTTGAGCGGGCGACCCATGAACCGGGGCTGTAGTTCCCCAACGCAGCAGTTTTGAGTTCAACTCCCGCTCACGACAGTTTGCTGCAGGTCTCTCCCTGTTCTTCTCCCTCCTTCCTGTCTCACTGTCTCACTGTCCTAACAAATAAAGGCAAAAATGCCAGAAAAAAAATCTTGAAAAAAAAATTTTAGATTTGATGAAACATGCAGTTTACTCGTATTTATCTTTACAAATGTTTACGCGCATCAACTTTTGGATCATTTAGCTCATGAAAAGGATTAGAAAATGAATTTTTTCCTCTAAAATCTGATTTCATAGGAGAAATACTAAAATAAATCAATCGCTAATGTCAAAAAATGTAATCGATTTAGTGGCAAAATTGATTTCTTTGGCATAAAAACCTGACCTGATACAGAAATGCAGATGTCATTTTTGGATTCAGCGTTGCAAAAATGTCCTAAATCAGTTTTAAAAAATCATAGACACCTTCAAAAACAGATTTTTGTGTGTAACCCAGTGTAATAATCCACTCACTTTGCAGCCCTACAACTGCATTTGTTCTCACAACCAGTTCTTCCTTTTTAGCGTCTCTCTCCTGTTTCTTGCTCCGTTTTCTGTTCACATGTGAAGCCTTTGTGTCAACAAACTACGTGTTGACATGCAAGAAAAATAAAATTAGTCAAAGTTACTTTATTGTCAGGGGTCCGTTTCACAAAGAGGGAGAGTTTCCCTCATTTCAGGGTGAATAGACTCAGAGTTTTCACTAAATCAACCTTTTGAAACGGACCCCAGTTCTGCTGCACATGTAGACGTACAGAGAACTGACATTACTCTCGAACCCTCATTTAAAAAACACACAGCTAAAAAAATATACATACTAAAAAATATTTAAGATAAACATATAATAAGATACAAAATATACAATCTAAACATATAATAGGCTAAAAAAATATACAATCTGAACCAGATTTGGATGCAGAAAACAAATGTGCACTAAAAAAGTGCAAATCAGTATGAAACTATTGACAGTGCAGTGAACAGAGAAGCAGCTTCTTCTGCTGTAAAGTGACTTAGTGTCAGACAGTCCTTGTGCTGCTTTGATTCCAGTTTAGTTGTTAGTGTCCAGAGTTTGTGTCTGCAGGAGGCAACGGGGGGGAGGGAGGCCAGAGAGTTCAGCTCATGACCACTCAGTGGGTTAAACAGCTCGTCCTGAGGAACATGAACGAGTGCACCAGATGTCTCGGCCGTTCAAATGATTGTTGAGTCATTTTACTCAAAACTCTCTGTAAAGGATTTCACAGAAATCCATCCAGTAGTTTGAGAGATATTTCAGTCTGGACCAAAGTGGTGGAACAACCAACCATCAGACCAACATCCTTCAGTCACGCCGCCGGCAGTGGAGCTAAAAATAGCCCAGCATCCTCCCATTCAGCAGAGGTTACTCCAACAGGACTTTGAGACTATTTTCAGCCACAGTGGGGAGAATTTATGGCAGAAAGATTGTCTGAGTGGGATCTGTTTGACTGTTTATGGTGTCCACGACTGAGTAAGAGTGAGATATATCTGGCTGACAGCACTTCTTCACAGTTTTTAGGGGAATTTGTTTCCCAATAAAGTGTTTTATTATCACCATCCTCAGCCTTTATTATGCAGCGCTGTGTCAAAGAATATCGGTGTGTGTAAATGTTCACTTCATAAATAGTTTCTAAACATCAAAGTTGACTTTCAAACCTCCTCTCTGGACTCTCCAGGTCTGGAGTCTGGCCACGCAGTGTGCCCTCTACACCTTCACCAACGAACACGCCCGCCAGTCGCTGTTCAGGAACCTGGGCACGGGCGTGATGCAGCTGGAGGTGGGACCGGCCAACCACATCTTCTCCTGCGGCGCCGACGGGACCATGAAGATGAGGATCCTCCCCAACCGCTTCAGCGTCGTGAACAACAACCACGGCAACCTCAAGAACGAAGTCAAGTTCTTCATATAGACGGAAGAGCAGTTTTAAGTCGACAATGTGAAGGGCTTTTTAGGATCGAGCAAAGTTCCCGACAGCCGGTGTGGAAAACACCACGAACCGCCGCCGTGAGCAACAGAGCAATGATGTCAAATTTGAAGAACGTCCTTAATGACAAAACGGGTGAAACATTCATAGGATTTACAGACTTTCACTGAGCGACAGATCCTCTGTGGTCTGTGCCACCCAGAAACGTGGCTTTAAAGCCGAGGAGCTTCTACAAGTGTTTTAAACGGTCGAGGAAGCTAAAGTGAGCACAGGGTAACGAGTGAGAGCACGTTCAATCAGAATGAACTGAAAACAGACAAAACACCCAGCTGGAGATTCTCCACAACAAACTGCCATCTCAGTTTCCACTGAACAGCACACGGAGAGCCTCGGTTTGGTTTCCTTTTTTTTTTGCACAGGGAGTGAATCGGTAGACGGAGCGAGATGTGAAGTCTGAAGCTGCAGCGTTACAGTATCGCCTCCTCTTTAGCTCGCATTAGTAAATCACGGCGACAGTGGGAGCTCTGGTGGAGTCGCTGCTGGAGCGTTCAGGTGATGCAGCAGACTGTACGCAGCGAGTCGTACGGGGACAATAAGAGATCCCTTCAGGGGGTTCAGAGTCAACACAGGACTGTTGAAGCCGCTCAGCACAACGCAGCAGGAGCAGCGGACATCGTACAAAGCACATTATATCCGGCCACAAGGATTCCCGCCGCATCCCGGTGCTCCACGCAAACAGACGAGCAGCAGGCGCCGGTCACGATCAAACCACACTTTGGGATTCATCAGATTCAGGCGGTTTCATGTCACTGTTGTTGTGTCACACTTTGGTTTTTTTAGGCTTGAACTTGAAATGAACACAGGAAGTGGATTTTATTTCGGTGGAAACGAACACATATCGAGTACATTTCAAGCAACAGTTTGACATTTCGAGAAATGTGCTCGTTTCAGATGTCGGGTTGAAGAGCGACACCGCTCGCCTGTAGGGGGCCACGGCGAGCAGCTTAGATTAAAGCTTCAAATACCTCTACTGGACAAGCTAAAACGCTAGCTCTAGTTTGATCCGTGTAATTAATGATAGCATTCATTGGCTCTGCAGCAGCTTTGTCCTGAAACTTCTACACAAACAATACAGAGCTGCTCCATGTTTAGTTTCTGCTCTGTGCTAAGCTAACAGGCCGTTCATCAAACTCTCCGTCTGAACATTTCCCAAAATGTCGAACTGTTCCTCAAACCGAGCGAGTAGAAGCTTAACCCGTGGACTGCCCGGCTGCACCAGTACTTTCTGTATTTGCACATAAAAACTAAGCTAAATTCTAAGTAGTTCTATAACCACACGAAGCAGGATAACAGTAGAGCAGTCCAAGTCTTTGGTGATAAGGTCATAATGTGTAGTTTTGTTTATCCTGGCCTAGATTTAACCAGTAGTAGTATTATTATGATAAATAAGTGTCCTTAATCACTGAATACGACTTCTGCCGCCTGGCACAAGTACGCTGGGTCCTGCTAATATTGATTATCGTTGATATTCAGTTGCACAGAGTAGCTTTAATTTAAGGCCCCTGTTGGTATGGGACACTATGAGTAATACCTTTTTTTGTTGAATATTATGCTTAAGATCATGTAGCAGGAAACGTTTGCTGTTGACAATGGAAAAAGGGGGCGTCGGGAGGGAGGGAGGGTGGACGGGGACGTTTTAATGGGAACTCTGTTTGAAAAATGTTTTATTCCGATAACAGCGCGCTTCCCTTCCACCGACTCTCTCGCACGGACCACGATCGACAACTGCCTTGGAAGCAATATCGTTTGTAATAATTATCTTAATTTTATTCGCAGACTTGCTTTAACTTCAGTTTTTTTTATTTTCTTTTTATATCATTGAAACGCAGCACATCGCCTTCAGTCGGAATACGTGAGCTAGGCTGGTGTTTAATAAGACGCGTCTTCCACTTGAATAAGGAAGGAGTTCATGCAAACTGTCCCATAGCAGAGTAGAACCCGTGAAGCTAGATATCCAGAGAACCTCGTGTGCTGCTGTAGGGAAACAAGCAGGTTTACTGTGTTGTATATATACATAGATCCATTCAATAGGCTCCTCATCATACCTGCATAATCACAGCAACTAGACGAACGGCGGGTAAAAGCCGCTTTATGAAGAATATCTGTACAAACAGCTATATTTATGAATCATGTGTAGGATTATAGATTGATTGATCAAAAGGCAGATGTAATCTTATTTCTAATTATTTTTCTTTCTCTTTAAGTTTTTATTTTTCTATTTTTTGCTCGTGTGAGCTGCTGTTTTTTTCTTTTCTTTTTCTCCCCACGAATCAAAGTGGTTGTTAAATCCTGTTTACTCCTGCAGCAACTGGAGAATAAAGATCTGTTTTATCGAAAGCCAAACCGTATGTACTCCTAAAGACACTGGAGAATAAACTTACTTTTTATCAAATAACTGCTTGCTTTCCTTTAAAGCCTCGCATCGCAGCAGATCAGCGAGCCGAGTCGAGCCGAGTAGATGGCACGAAGTCACTCGGCTCGACGATAAGAAGCCGAATCATCGCTTCTTCTTTTCTTTTCTTTTTTCTTTTTTCTCCTCCTCCCCCCTTCTTCAATCTTGCAAATGTGAATTTAAGCAGATAATTCTAATTTTATAATGAAGATATTGTGTAAATCGATGTATTATACTCAGAAAATGTACTGATGTAATAAAAAGAGTTATGTAACATGAGCAGACGGGTTTTGTAGTTTTGGAAACGGTGCGTTATGGATAGAGAATAGCAAACGTTATACTTTATGTTAGCGTCAGAACATCTGTACAAAGTCATCGTACTCTTCCTATTTCCAACATTTGGTGGTGTGCTGTCGACATCATGGAGTCCTGACACTAGACATCATCCACTTTTACATCAAATTACAGACAAACCAGCACCAGACGTCCACGTTCACCAACAGATTACTATCATGGCGTTACATCTTGTGTGTCTTGAGGTCTAACGATTGCATTGAATGTATCGCTCATAATTTTCATGGATTAATCGTAGCAACTGGACTTGCTTGAATTCTGAAACTGGGCTGTGTTGGAGGGGTAACGCCTCTGAAGGGGCAACAGTCCTCGGAGTAGTTGGTCCACTTTGGTCCCCACCTGCACCCAGCTCTCACTTCTGGTAGCTGTTTTTATGCAACAGCAGCCACACCCCGGGCAACGGCTTCGACTGGTCGGCGAGACCGAGTGAGGGCAGCCGACGGGTTTCAAACCCTCAGTGAGTCAGGGCTCGCCTACCTACACATATGAAGACTGGACTCTGGTTACAGCGAGGCACTGTGGAGTGCACAGGGCAAGATGAGGCACTAAAGGACTTCGTGGTCGTCCGCTGCATCCGTTTGTCTCCAGTGGTCTTGACCTGGTCCTGCCACTGGATCCAGATGGTCTCAGACGAGAGAGTGACGTCGATGGTGCACAACTCATCGCACAAGTCATCTACCATTCCAATCCCGTCCCTTTTACCCCCACGCCAGGATGACCAGATGGTCCTCGTTGCATCGACAGACAAACAACATGTGAGTCATTAGTGCTCCCCCTGCTACAGTGGGCTTCATTAGGGTCTTTTGTGGATAGGTGTGGATGTGGTTTCATCTTCCTGGGGAGAGATCTTAGGACTGAATTGTAAACAGGTGACGCCTCAGACCTCCACCTCTGTTGAGGGATGGTCTTTCCAGTTTGGCATAGATCTTTCATCCCTCTCTCAAACCATCCAACCAAAGTCTGTACGTTGCCGTCTTCAAATGTGTGTCCTTTGTCCTTAAATGCAGGTGGAGTCCTGTCCTGAGGAGCTGCTCTTCTGGGCTGAGCCATGTGGTTGAGGAGCGGTTGTTTTATCTCCCCGATGTACAGGTCTGGGCATTCCTCGCTGCACTGGACTCCGTACACCACGTTGGAAAGACCATCCTTCAACAGAGGTGGAGGTCTGAGGCATCACCTGTTTACAATTCAGTCCTAAGATCTCTCCCCAGGAAGATGAACCCACATCCACACCTAGCCACAAAGGACCCTAACGAAGCCTGTTATGGCAGAGGGAGCACTAACGCTTCACATAACGAGGAGGAGGAGCAACAAACCCCCAACTGAAACCAAAACTCAGGTGTTAGTGGCTCCTTAAGGATATCAGTATCTGGAACTCCCAACTAGTCAGTCAGAGCTGATGAAGCCTCTTGCATGGAACGTCTTCAAGGAACTCAAGCAAGTCCAGTTGCTACGATTAATCTACCAGAACAACCATGACCTGGATGACTGAGAATCTTCACAGACATATATTTTAAAACCCCTGTGGTGGAAATCAAGCTATTCTTTTTGAATGTCCATATTTTTGTCTGCTAGAAGACACATCATAACCACGGCTGAGCATCTCTACCATGAACCTGCAAAGCAGAGACGAGTCAAACGTGGATTTAGACTTCCAGGGTTTCATATAAAACACGAGGAAACAATCGTGTCGACCTGCAGGATGGGACGTTTCCGCGTCATTACTCTTCTTCAGAATGGGTTCCAACGTGTGCAGATGAATAACTCCAATATTACAACTTGCCATTATGGAGCTTTAAATAGTTTTACAGTGTTTGAGCAGAGCTGTAGGTGAGCCGCTGGTTCTCTATTTCTAAAAGAAGCATCTCAAGCATTCTACGGGGGTACAGCATTGTTTTCATGGGTAAATGTGGGACAGATGAGAGGCACGGATGAGTTTAATCAACCAGAGAGACGATTTAAATCCTGTGTAGTTCACACTTCACTGCCTTTGTCGGCACAATGTTCAATTTCATGTTAGTGCCGCAAAACATATGGAGTAGTGAGAGCGCCAAATTACAAAAATAAATCAATAAAAGAACAATAAAATAAAAGTGGAAATAAAAAGAATAAAAAATAAAATAAAACAGAAACAATGTGGCAATATGAAGCAATATTAAACAAAAATTAAAGCCGCAAGCGGCGATGGACGGGTCCTCGCCCTACGCTTGT